AATCTGACTTGTCTTTCCCTTGTTAGAAGTTCTTTTTTTTTTTGGTAAAGTAATTATAGTGTGTCTGTCAGCAACTGGAATCTGAGCTGCATGTATCAAATACGACCATATTGTTTCTGTCGAGGAAGCTTTGTACACTTCCGTTTCAATTTCATTATTTTCATATAACTTATTTTTCCTCGTTGTATTTTTTCGCCATTAATTCCTGTGTTTGTGTTTTAAGCATTACATTTCATTATGCATATTTAGACTTACAGATGTAATTCATAAATTTAATTGGACCTCAAAAGTAATCCGTCAACATACTTAGACTTACATATGTAACCTGTATATATATTTAGACTTACAGAAGGAATATTGAAATATATCTAGATTTACATATGTAACCTGTATAAATATTTAGACTTGGGATGTAATTTATAAATATATTTGAAAACAACTTTAACCCTAATAAAATAAAAATGTTGAAGCACAGTGTTTACCTCCTAGTGCATTTTGTCATATTTTTCTTATTTCATTCAAGATTTAAATCGTACCCCAAACTTGTTTTTATTGCATTTGGTTTAATCAGTGTTATTGTTTTGCTAATTATATCACTCATGAAGTACACAAAACTCAACAGTGATGACACAAATGGCACAAACCATCTTTAAACATTGTGTATGATCCTTTTGCCTTGAAAAGTATCTGCTACTTAGATACTGACAGAGGGGAGAGAGGTGCACTTCATTATGGTTTATATAAAGGCTGCTATTCTGTAGTATTGTGGCTGGTATAATAGTCATTGTTATAATGTTTAGTAGAATCAGTATTCTCTGGTATTGTGGCTGGTATAATAATCTGTTTGAATATTTGGTATAAAGATCATTATTGTTAAGATTGACATCAAGGTTAGTATTGGCGTAAAGCCTCACACTTACCTGTTTCTTATCAATTGGCTTTGTAAGAAGACTGATTATTGTGGTCACAATGCAAGAAATACTAAAAAGTATACATCCAAAGTGCAGGTAGTGAACTTTTGCCAACACTACAGGTCGGGGATCTGGTTTACCATCAGCACAAGGTGGAACGGTATAATAAAATTCCAAGACAAAACGAATAATACCGACTACCAATCCCACAACAAGACCCCAGAAGGCACCCTAGAGAGACATATATAAAACCTTTTGACATTTAGCTTTAAATAGGTAAACATATATATGTATACAACTTATTGCCTTGCATAGGTAAACATACATATACATAAGTTATTGCTTTACATAAACATATATATATATATATACACACACACACACAGACACATCATATATATATGTACACACACATAACATTGCTTTACATAGGAAAACATATATATCCATAATGTATGGCCTTACTTTAATTAGTTTACATATTTAGTGAGAAAGAACCAAAGAATATGACACTTCAATAAAAACAGTAGTTCAGTATATAAAGAAACAGTTCTATAAAAACATTTTAAACTATAATACGTAAAACATATTTTATCTGCAACACTAAATACTTATTTCAGTATTTTTTCAAATAATGTTAATGAGATATGAATATTTTTGATAATATCAAGCATACAAAAACTAAGAAAATTTATAGATAGCCCACCAAGCATAAAAGTATTAATACTTTGTGACTTACTTTTCATTTTTTCAAAGCCTTACAAAGGTATGCTTTTCCAATTTGTTGTAAATTGTATAAAATGGACATTGAGAAGAACAATTACAAAAATGTCTCTTGAAACACTGTAACATCTGTCTTACTAAATGTCATAGGGATGTTGTTCCAGCAGTACCATTTATCTTCAGTTTATACACAAGTTAAACAGCTATAAAGTTAACCAAATGGTAAGAGGTATTACAAGTATTAATTAACACCAGTTTCTGTGAAATCTCTGTTGTTGTTGTAATTTCTCTCACCTGCTCATTAATTCGACTCCACAACACAGCTAGAACAAAAACAGCGCAGACAGGAGGCGCTAAGCAGCTAGTGACAGTTTGGATGTAATGGAAAAGTTGACTACCTTGGGCAACCTGGATGAGGGGCATCCACAAGATGCTGATGACAACAAGAACTAGTACAGACACCCTGTTGAATGAAATGTTTCAATTACAGAACTTTATGTTTGTTACTGTAACTGTATACAGTATTTTGAATTCCTTCTGTCAGTGAACAAACAAAAGACATTTTAGAACTAGTTACATGTTTGAGAACAAAGTTGGCAGCTTAAATACTGGTTGCTACGTATTATTATTTTCAGCTTTTGTCGGTGCCCATGCTGTTTTAATACATAGGAACACTGACACATCAAGGTGGTACTCATTAAAGTGCTGCAAATTTTAGAATATAGTTTATTACCACATACAAACGAATCAATTTAATCACACTTGCCACAAGAGGCGTTTAACTAAACAGGAGTGGTGTTATAAATACACCAGGTAGAGGCCTCTTTATTTAATAATCCTTCATTTGTAAAAACCAGTAGATTTTTACTTTTTATAAAAGTGAATGATTTTTTTATTATATGGAAAATGTGTGCAATGTATATTTTACACATAAATAAAACAATTATTCAACAGCAGCTTTTGTAAAAAATATACAATGTTGTAATACTAGGTAAATACACAGTATCGTGTAAAATAATCTACAATAAAGTTTAAATCCACAATAACGGATACAAGTTTCAACAATTTTGCGTGTCCTTTTCAGTCCAACGTTTACCAGCTTCACCACTTTGGAGTTTCACATCTGAAATAAGAAGAAAGTCAGGCTAGCTAATCCCCTTGAAAAACACAACACTTTTAACCTCCTCTCTCTCTCTCTCACCGGTTCTCACTGTTGGTCTTAGGACTACTTTGTGTCAAAACTAAAAAAAGAAAAAAAAAAGGTGACGTTTATGAAGATCTTCGTGGTTGTCTTCTTTGTGCATTTTCACATTAGCCCGTGTATCGTCCTTGACAGTTTCTGAACTGAAAGCAATGTTCTCCCTTCCTTCATTTGCCATTGTGACGTTATTAGAGACATTTCTCCAACTGGCTTGTTTGCCATAGCTAACCAAGTCTTCACGTACGTTGGAACTTAATCTTGTCCAAAAGGTCAGCCTATACAACTGAAAAAATAATATATTTAATCTTAAAATTTCATCTGTGACAGCTCCTTTATTCTGCAAACCATTTCCATTTGATAATTAAATATATCATATTAGAAACTAAAAACGTCAGTGACTTTGCCATGCCGATTTCTTTTATCCATGTGGCTCAAGTTCTCAGATTCAAGAACAGTTAAATAAGTTACTGTTAAATTGAAAAGCACGGAAAATCTAGAACCGGAGTAAAAGCTTTTTGACACATTATAAACCCGTGAATTTATGTACGTTGGCTACTATTTGTCAACAGAAACAGTATGTAAGTCTTTGAAGGATATAATGATTTATCTGTGAGACTAGGATGTTCATATTCCAGGACTTACATTTTTATACTTGTTTTTAAATACTAACATAAAGCAGAATGTTGGTCAACATATTGTTGTACTTCTTCAACAATGAATAATAACACGTACAGTATATTATCAGGCCTTGCCCGAGGTTGCCTTAACTGGAGGGGCCATAACGGTAGATAAAAGTGCTAGAATGAAAGGAATTATATAACTTTATATAGACGTGAACCAGTAAAAGACAGTAGATTCTTTTTAAAAGAGTGAAAGAAGAACCTATCTAAACATTTAAAAATGTCATTATTGGAGTTTATCCATGTACATACTGTTACTTACTCGTTTTCAGACCTAATATATATATATATTTATAGCAATAGAGAAGGTAATTAAATTTTCATAATAAGACTTAAAAAAAATTTTTAGGATAATATAATTAGAAACAAATTTGCTATTTGTTATTATAACAGAGCTTAAGCCACATTCTGAGATCTAATGTATCTTGAAAAATCACCAGAATTTAATATTTTGGAAAGAATATAGCAACTTGGAGTATCTCATAGATAATCTAATTATTAATGGAATTTAGAATATTTAGAAGTTTGATTGGAAAATGATGTGGGGAATGAGCTAACCTTGTATGGAAGAAAATATAGAATTTTTCCAAATTTGGTTTGAAGATTAGTTGAAGAATGATTTGTAAATCACTCTTACGTGAAAGGAGATATTTGTAAGTTTGATTGGAAGGTGATACATATCCTTAAATAAACAAGAGCTACCAAAGTAGCCTCACCTTTTGGAAGTTCAGGGTTTTATATATTTTTTTATTGAAATTACGAAACATTTACTATCAACTTGGACACCTAGTGACATTTCATACAGTACGGGTGTTTCTGAAATGTAATTTTGTGTTTAGAAAAATAAGTTTTTCCCAATAATTCTACATATTACAATTTATTTTTGGCACGTTCCACATTATGGCGTAACACTGTTTTCTTATTCCACACTATGACGTAACACTGGTTTCTTATTCCACACTATGACGTAACACTGGTTTCTTATTTCACACTATGACGTAACACTGTTTTCTTATTTCTACTCCAGCAGAGCTTCCAATGTGGAAACGAGCAATATTTTTCATTTTCGGAATTAGTAAGAATCCTGGTAGTCAAAAGGATCACACAAATTCAAGGGTCTCTCCTCAGGAGAAAATTCAACAAGTCTTACGGTTTGTCCATGAAGAAAGTAAGTGGAAGAAGTGGTGCAACATTAATGCTATTCTTCTGGCTGTTTTTGGAGGATTTGTTTGGGGATATTACGCCTAATGTTAAATACCGGATGTTCAAAACCTTTTCTTTCACAGAGATATGCAGTACATTATATATATATATATTGTCTTATTGTTATTTAGGTGAAGATCCTGGACATTTCATGAAGCATAGATAGATTTCAGGATTAATGAAGATTTTAAAGCTGCTTTGAACTATTTGTTTAAATTTACAAAATGTTGCAAGTAAAATGTTATTGTTTGATTGTGTTCATTAAACAGATATCTAAAAATGCCTCTGATGCTTATATGTATTATGTGACAAGCAAGGGAAAACATTAAATCTGAAATTGGTTAGGATTATAAACATCCCTAAAAAAACATATGTATTTAAATAAGGAATGATATATGTAAGGTTACACTTTATATAAATATTCAGATTAAATCATCTTTGAAATTGAAAAGTTGTCTTTAGTTGAACGTTATTTTTTAAATAACCTAAGATGAAACTGATTACGAAGTTAGATAGTGACTAAAACCACGGACGCTAGCCTGCTTAAGTAAATGTGAATGGTTAAAAAATACGAAACGTTCACTTCAACAGCGTTTCCTATTTTTAAACAATTAACATTTACTTGTGTAATGGACAGTGACCGCAAATAACATATAAAACTGTTGGGGGTCATCTCAAAATTGCCTCAGATTGAACAATGCTGTACTTATGCCTCGTAAATAAACCAATGGAGATTGGTCGATAACGTCACAAACCATTTTCTGCATACTGCACCACTTTCCTGCATACCTTCTCTCCATACTATTGTATTTATCTTAGGTAGTACCCTAGAATAACTTACACTTTTGTCTACAAAAAATAAATATGCATAAAACTTTGTTAAATACAAATTTCTTAGATAATTTATATTAGTCTAAAGGATGTGGAAAAACAAGTGTGTTTGAAGTGGCTGTTTTGTTGTGCTAATATTAGAAAGTTGAGGTATACTAATTTTATCATGTTACAAAACTATCTTTGTCATAAGTTTATTGAAAAACAATTAGACTGGTACAGTATACGCTTTTTGTACGAATTGTTGGCCTTATGGATTCAGATAGTGCCTTATCAATAACACTACTAAAAATACATACTACAATTAATATCAAGATATAGATACAAGTCCAGTAAACATTTTAATAGGATTGAAATTTGACAGTATCAATGACTTAAAACTGAGTAGCGTTTTATTAGGGTGTTGAATGCAAAACTATTTATTGGCTAGATGACGCTACGTATGACTTTTTTTATATTTGACTGCTAAGCCATTCGGGGTCTCCCAGGTACCTCAACGATTACCAATACTCATATCAAAATATGTTTTTAATTTTAGTATTATCAAATGTTACTAACATTTTGACATTATATACATTATTTCCAATGTATACCACCTTATGTATGAGTTTGACATTAACTTTATTATTATTATGATAACTGGTGGAGTTAATGATTATTTTTACATAATAAACTAGGAATTGTATTTTTTTTCGTATTTTAATACTTCCAATTGATAGTGAATAATAACTATTTTCAGATATAGTTGAAACTAAGTTGCAGTGTGTAGGCTTATAACGCTAAAAACCAGGTTTCGATACCTGTGGTGGGCACAACACAGATAGTCCATTTCTTAGTTTTTGTGCTCAATATTAAACAAACAAAGAGGTCAACAGAGACCTATAAAAGTACAAATGTTATTGTATTAAGATGTAAAATATGTATAAATATAAGAGAAAACAAAACATATCTACTGATATTGGTAATGTTGCGTCAGCGAGGTCACGTGACTAGTGTCACGCCACTTCTTTCTCGAACCTTCCTAGATTGGGTGGTAGTCTAGTATATATATGTCACCATCCGCGTGGCGGGACATTGTGTAGGTAGTGAGTAATTGATCTACAGTCAGGGAGTATTGTTGAAGTTAACGTTCGTTGTTAGAGCGTTTGTTTTAGCGCGAATGTTGAAATTAAGTGTACCGTAAAGTTATGTTATGAAGATTCGGTTTGTTTAAGGCAGAGAGTGAGCAGCCAAAAATAAATCCTGATCAGTACCTAACGGTTTTTCAAAACTTTAGCATTTCTCCAGGCTCGTTCCCCAAATTTCACGACAAAAAAAAAAGAAGATCAACCACTAAATCAGTGAAACAGCATCACCGTAGCGACTCTGAAGACCTCGCCTACGCTGAGGGAGACCTCTTTTGACCGACCGACCATGAACACCGGCAAAACAACACGGAAAACGGACAAGGCCTACTCTGAAGATCGGAACATACATACTGAAGAAACAACCACAGCAATGAAACTAACGGCTATGCAAGATAATTTCTGTAAGTCTGACGTGGGTGTACCTGATCCAAATAATTGTAATGATAGCCTAAAAGGATTAATTAATTTTGCTAAAGAAGAATTATCCAAAAGTAGAGCAAAAAAAAAACGTAAAATATCAAAATCACCAACAGTAAATAAAGAAACCGAAGATAGTGAGGCTGAGGCTGACACTATCAACGGCGGTAACGTACAGGTTAATCATGTAAGTAAAACACCTCACACCTTGGATGTTGAACAAACATTGAACACGACAAAGAACAAAACACAAACACTAAATAGTGATGAAGAGGGTTTTACCCTAGTAAAATCTAAAAAACAAAAACAAAGTGAAAAACTAATACAAGGCGGAACAAGTAACGAACAACAACACAAAACAGACAGCCAAAAACCTTCATATGCAATAATCATTCAGGTAATCCCCGGACATTACAATCAGCCACAATTAGCAAAAGAAATTCATCGGTGCAAACCGAAAGTACAGATCACAAACATTAAACGACTACCCAGGGGCGGTGTTCTCGTTCGAGGACAAGAAGCCGCTGACCTGAATAAATTATTACAGACATGGCCCGAAAACGCATTCAACACAAATGCAATAACAATACAACTTCCGGGAGCAAGGGCACAACCCAGGTCATTCGTGATCAGGGGAGTGCACTACTCTATAAGCACGGAAGACATACACGACATGTTACACACACAAGTAAAAGTAAATAAAGTCGAGAGAATAATTTCAAACATCACAAAAAACCAACAAACTTAGTAAAAGTATACGTTGATAACACACAAGACATCACACACTACATAAACAATGGTATCATTATGTGGTACCAAAAATACACAGTGGAACTAACAAAAACACCAGCCATAGTAGTAACTCAATGTTACCACTGCCAGCGGTTTGGACATGTAGCAGCTGCATGCCAAGCCATTCCAAGATGCGTTGGCTGTGGTGAAAACCATCACATCACACAATGCACCAAACAAAAACCCGAACCAAAATGTTGCAACTGTGGAGAAAACCACACAGCCAACTACAAGGGCTGCGAAAAGTACAAAACCATCAAAACCAAAATTTACGAAATTAAAAACCCAAATGCACAAACACAAAAGCAACCCCAACCAACACAAACAACAAGAAAGACGTTACTTCCAACACCACAAACACAAAAAACAACATACGCAGCTGCAGTCACCAGCACAATCACGAAACAGAGTGAACGAAAATCTACAAATGAAACACCTAAGGACAACACCCCAGAAAACCCCAGAATAACAAAGGATCAGACAAAAACTAAACAAAATGAAATCAACACTGACATGCCAATCATAAATATCATAAAAACAATAGCACTGGAATTTATACATGAACTAAACAACCCATCCAGAACTGACGACTGCTTCAAAATTCTAATGAAAATTTTATATAACAACCTCGCATCTATCCTTCCGGCTATTCTAAGAACATTAACTGGCACAC